TGTCAATAGGGGTGCTCCGATTGATCGGCTACCGATCACTATCGGCCGATAATCGTTTTGGGATGTTTGATCGGCGGTCTCTAAGAAGGCCGATCTCAAAAAAACGATCTCAATGACGCGTCTGCCATGAGAGGTTTGGCACGACATGCAGAGGCACCGTCTCAGTCTCTGTCCGGCGTGGGTGAAATCATTATAATGCTGAAGGTGAAGTACAGTTCATATTTCTTCATTAAATAACTTATAAAGTAATTTGAAAACTTTCTGTGAGACATAATTTCACAAACAGCGTGAATTCAGCGTCATCTTATTAAAGTGACCTTCAATGCAGACACGCACGCCAGCATACAATGGAACTATCGTCCGCAGCAGTCAGAGATTTACATAAGATTATATTTTTTTGTGATCAACTTTTTTTTAAATAAGATATTAAGGACCACAACTATTTTCAACAATAAAAAGAAATGTTTCTTGAGCAGCAATCAGCATATTAGAATGATTCCTGAAGTATGTGTGACTGAAGACTGGAGTAATGGATACAGAAAATGTATCTTTTCCGTCATAGGAATAAATTACATTTTGAAATATATGAAAGTAGAAAACACTTATTTTAGATTGTAATAATATTTCACAATATTACTGTTTTTACTGTGTTTTTAGCAATTGAATGTAATTTAAAAATATATTAATTATTCCAAACATTTACATGTGCTTGTGTATATATTAAATACATTCCAATAATCATAAAAAAGGAGTGTAAAGGAAGATTATATTTTTAAGTCTGATTCTTTCCTGCCAATACTAAATATTTTCAGGGATTGTGGTGTAAATTGTCATTTAAAGGTGCCATAGAATGGAAAACTGTATTTACCTTGGCATAGTTAAATGATAACAGTTCTGTCCATGGAAATGACATACTGTGAGCCTCAAACGCATTGTTTCCTCCTCCTTATGTAAATCTCGTGCATGCAAAAGACCACTGAAAAATAGGCAAATCAGAACATAACACCGACTGTGACGTTAGGACTGAGTCGGGATCACTAATAGTTACGCCCCCAACATTTGCATATACCCGCCCATATTCTATGCCAGCCGAACCATCACAAGTTCTGCAGGTATTGAGAAGAAACAAGCGAGGATAATAGCGAAAATGGCAGATCGTGGAAATAAATGTTATGTTCCAGGCTGTGCAGGGGAAGTGATGTGCAGGGATGGGTTGGTGTCTGTATTCAGAAAGGCACGGAAAGCAAATAACGCAAGCCACTAAAGGGACATGGTTAGCTGCTTGCTAGCGGTAGCCTGTTACATTACAGTACATACGATTTCACTTACCACATAAACAGAGTAAGGAGAGATGACTGAGGATGATGGCGAATGATTTACAGATCCTGAGCACCACTGACAAGCATCTGATCTTGTAAAATGTGTTGTAAGTACTGCCGCTGTAGTTTACATAGAGCACGTGCATCGTAAATCTCGAAAGTGAAAGTAAAACGATCGTGCATTCGAAAGCAGTTTCAATGCCCCGCATATTAATAGCGGCTCCCTGATGCCCGCATTTTATATACAGTATAATTACCCAACGATATAACTGCGAGAGACAGTACTGAAATATATATTTTCCCTGTGTTTCTTTCCTGCTGTGTGAGCTACACTGTTGCCAACTCTCGCGAGACAAATAAGCAACCGCAGGTTCAAAAACAAGCCCAATATTGTTTGATAATTTATCATCAATATTATTTATTATCAATTATTTATTACCAATAAATGAGCCCGCAACATATTAAACTGAAACTACCCTTTTATTTGAAAAGCAAAAACATAAGTTGTTTTACAAAAAGCAACAAACTGCAACAAAGCAGGAACAAAACTCATCTCCAATCACCTGTGAGCAGAATAGGATTGGACAGATGGAAAAGGAGAAAAACACAAGAGCTTCAAAGGGGAGCTGTAACATAGCCACATATTTATAGCCTACTAAGAATAGGATTGGAGAGATGGAAAAGGAGAAAAACACAAGAGCTTCAAAGGGGAGCTGTAACATAGCCACATATTTATTGCCTACTAAAATATTGGCTGTTCGAACCAAATCTACTCTTAGTATTAGTATAGGTCTACTTGTTTTTTTGTTGTTGTTTTGTTTTTTACAACCCGTGATAATTATACATTACAAAAACATTGTAAAAATTCATTCAAAAAGTCATTCCACTCCTCTATGTCTACTACTATCATCGCTTGGATTACAGCGTCTTTTTGAATGTGATTTTTCTTCAATTCCTCATTGAGTGCAGAGGGGGCGGAATATTTGACAAATTACGCTGCAGCACGGATTTTTTCAAGCAACTTTACAAAAAAAGAAGCCCAAAGTCGCGTATAATACGCGGATTTGGCAACTCTGGTGAGCTACTGAAATGAGCAGCACTGTGAAACAGCCAATCAGAACAGAGCTCAACATTGAGCTGCACTGTGAAACAGCCAATCAGAGCAGAACTCAGTATTATTATTCATGACCCTTCCAAATAAGGTAATAACAGACAATTTCATTCTAGGGACAAATCCTAGGGTTGTAAATGGACATGTAAACCCGTTTCTGGAGATTACCTAAGCCACATACCTTCTATGTAAATATCAGAGAACAATTTAAAATATTGTATCAATGCATTCAATGGCACCTTTAAAACATTGATTGTGTGATTTCAAAAATTAACTTTCATATGGAATTCCATAAACAGCATATTTTTCACATAATGTCTCTGAAGATGAAGACTATCCAAGTTGATTTTTGTATGTTTGAACGTTTCTCAGGTTGTACCAGGAGAAACTGCGCTGGCTTTTTTATAGGGTCTGGAATCCCACAGACAAACCAGTGATAGGCATTTCTACCTACAGTGTTGTACCTTTTGAGGCTGGGCAATATTTTAATAAGATACAGGTAAATATGAAGCATTTAAATAAACCTATGGTGACATTACTATTATAATTTATGTATATCCATTTGTTACCTAGCTCACTAAAGAGCATGCTAAATTCACTAATTAGTGTGCTAATACACTGTTTTTTTTTCCCCATCAGTGTTTCTGTTTTGAGGAACAGAGGTTAAACCCACATGAGGAAGTAGACATGCCTGTTTTCTTCTACATTGATCCAGAGTTTGATGATGACCCCAGGATGGCACGAGTTGATACTATTACACTCTCTTATACCTTTTTTGAAGCCAAAGAAGGACAGCGGTTACCCATCCCTGGGTATAGCTAATTATGCATTATTTAGAGAATTTTAATCAGAATTATCTTCAAGAGAGTGAGTTCAGTAATCATTTTGGTAATTAACAGTAATGAAGGCTGATCAAGACAATAAATTGTAAGTTACTATTTTTATATATACCATAATAATTTTTTTATATATATATATCAAACAACTGAGCTGTATATTAAAAATTTGTGTCAACATTTGTGAGGATAGTGGCTTACTTTAGAACACTAGAGGGCAGCATTTGTGCATGTTTCTTATTGTCTTTTGTGCATTGAAAACAATAACACATATGTTGTACGACTTGCTGATTATTGTGGAATAATGAATATATTTGGGTTGCATACAACTGTAGCAGATGCTTTATATAATGCATGCGCAAATGCTCTTAGTGGTGCTTCAGTGAGCAATATTGCGCAACAACACTACTCAAACAGTTTGGATTATACACAAACAAAATGAGGTTAAAGTAAAGATACAAAAGGATATTAGAGTAGGCATTAATCACAATGAATGAGATCCTGAAGATATGTAGTTTTATTAATATTAATGAAAAGTGATTCTGTAAACAGTATGTGCTATGATTGCATAATAGTGGTTTAAGCATAAAATATTAATACAATTTTCAAAAACAATCTTTGTAATATGTTTCGTAGAGACTTAAAGAATATTGATGTAATAATCAAAATTCCAAAACAGTATGCTGCATACACTAAAATATTTTAATACATTTTTTTAAATGTTCTTTAATACCAGAAGAAGCTTTAATATAATGCAAACATATATCACGGTTGATATATGATACATAACAAACAAAAACATAATTTCATGTCATTTTTAATTATTAACTAATTTCTATTTTTCTTAATATTGATCTGTAAAGCATTATATAATGTAATTATGCAAGGGATTGTTCTTAATGAAAGTTATAGTGTTAGAGTCTAGCTGGACTGGGTTTGTAAAGGTTGAAAGCCCAACAGATCAAAGATACAAGGGACAGTAGTACGGAGCCCCTAAAGGGACATGGTGGTGGGAAAAAAAATTCGGTGTGGGAGGAAATTTTTTATTTGCGTTCTCTCGCAAAGATATTTGCATTCCCTTTTGCGTTCTCTCGAATCTGACATATTTTTTCCTCCCACCCCAAATTTTTTCACTCAGTCTGATTTTTTTCCACCACCATGTCCCTTTAGGGGCTCCGTACAGTAGTGATGCAAAATACAATCATGGTAAAAAAAATATATATAAAAAATATATATATATATATATACAAAAGAACTAACTCACGTTAATGATTTTGATAGCCTTTTTTATTATCAAACTAAAATATAGTTTCAAAGTATTGCTGTGATTTTAAAAAGGAGAAGAGAGAAACTACAATAACTTAACCTGTTTAGAAACGACAATAATCAAATTATGTCATTCAAACACTACGTCATTCTTCGTGCCCCGGAAAACAACAAACCCGAGCACGCGCTTGAAGCGCGCTGGAAAGCTGACGCAGAATCAGTTGAGCAACCGTCCGCGCGACAAAACCAAATGGATGAACATACGGGTTCTGATCTGGTATCAGCGCTTATGGGATCAAAACAGCAAATTAGCCACACCCTCTCTAACACAAAATGGGCGTTTGTGGGATTTGATGGACGCGCTAAATGTCCAATGAGAGAGCAGAGCTGCCCTAGCAACTCCACACAGGAACCAATCAAGGAAAATCTAAGGATAAACTCACATTTTTTTCTGTTTAGGGAGGCTGATAGAAGAGAGGGATCGTGGCAGAGAGCTCAATGGACCAGGTTTGCTCGAAATGTAAAGATGAAAAACATTAGGAGCGTTTTATAAAGATTAACATTTCTTTTATAAGTATAAACAGTCAATTTTAATAAGTTACTTGGCTTATGCTACTATACTGTAAACGTATGAGGGGTCTTTATTTACCTGCTAATGTGACGCAACAGCATCAGTGGATCCACAACCAGAATCTTTGAACAATAGGACAGCTTTAGTGTTGTACTGGGCATGACATTTTAAACAGAAAAGACTAGTGAAGAATATGTAGGTTTGTTTTTAAAACAGCTATATTGTTTAGTTGCACTGGTGGTCTGAGATATTTAACAGAAGTCCATCAAAGGACAGTTACATGATGTACCAGAATGGGTCATTGGGCTGATGTGAAGATGAACCACAGGAGCAGCCCAGCAAAAGCTTATGATTTCCTCCTGAAATTCCTGCTGGTTGGAGACAGTGATGTTGGGAAAGGGGAAATACTGGCAAGTCTACAGGATGGGTCCAGTGAGTCACCCTATGGATACAATATGGGTACGTTTTGATCTCTGTACTGTACAAATGAAACTAAAGTTAGTCGGTCTGCGCATTTCTAAATGAATCTATTATCATGGATTGTAGTTTATTTAACATTTCTATCACATACACATGATGATCAGAAAGTAAGAATACAACTAACAAGCATCATGTGTACATCTACATCACTTATTGTGAACTGTTTCAGTTGTTTTATCACCAGAAATGTTGTCAATCTAGACAATGTAAACAACAAATCTTTATACACTGAAAACAAGGGATCGCCATCTGTATTACATTTATTTTCAATATTTAATTTATTATAACAGTTAGTATGCCACATATATTAAACACCAAGATCACATTTCACATCTAGCCCTGGTTTGTCCAGCTCTTATTTACAGCTCAGCAGTAGTTGTAGTTATTGGTTACTCCCTGTTTTGGAAAAAGTAACTCGTCCCCGGGGACAAAATCAACTGTAGTGAACCCCCCTTTGGGCTTTCACAGCTAAACAACATATTTTTCATGTGTCTTGCCTATAAGGCCAACAACACTCTTTATGTGATACAAACAAGTGGCTTGTATCACATAACTAACAAAGCACAACATCTTTACATGTATGTAATGACTTGCACATCACTTATTAACTCAGTAGCAACCAGCTCTCGATGTGACAGTCCTTTAGATCTCTTAATTCTTAATAGTTTACATATTTTCTCCAGAATGCTGTTTTATTGTTTTTATGCATGCTTGAACAGGACACACTACATGTGCCGTTTTTCATTGTCACTGCATTTGGGCAAAGTCCAAAGTATGATAAGCATTACAACAGCTTAGATTACACCGAAGCGATATAGCAAGTAAATTGACAGCCAACCTGTTCATTTAAGGTCAGAGGCTGACTGAGATCTTGCACAGTTGTGTACTCATTTATCCAAGCAGCTGAGGAAGGAATGCCAGCCACTTTTTGCGGAGGGGCAACAGGTTATAGGAACAAAATCATCCCTAGACCAAGAGCCTTTAAATAGTATTTTAATTGCTTGGACAGGCATATTAATATATTCTTAAAAGAATAGTTCACACACACAAAAAAATTAGCTAAAATTTACTCAGCCTCAGGCCCTCCAAGATGTAGATGAGTTTGTTTCTTCATCAACAAATTTCTTCAACAGCTTTGGAGAAATTTAGCATGACATCACTTGCTCACCAATGGATTCTGTGAAGTGAATGGGTGCCATCAGAATGAGAGTCCAAACAGCTAATAAAACAACATCGCAATAATCCACAACACAACTTTAGTAAATCAATTAGTGTCTTGTAAATAGGGATGTAGACTTTTTTAACAAAATTAGAATGAAAAGGTGTTATTATTGCTTGGACAAAACGCTGCATATTTCTTTGTGAAAGTGAAATATGTCAAATATGTCAAAAACTAAATTGAAATTTTAAAACAAACCACAAATCAATAAATAAATAAGACAATAAACAAACTAAGGCTTTGCCTGTGCTCTTTCCATTCAAAATTAGAGGCAACTACTGCATTTGAATCACAATCCAAAGATGCTGAATACATGCAGCATGAGCAGTTTTTTTTTTCTAAATTAGATTGTATAATTTGACATTTTAAACAAAAACAGAATGCTCTGACTTTAGTTTTGTGAAACTATACTACATGAAACATCTGCACGAAACAAATACAGCAGACGAGCTGAATGAGATGCAAATTCGCTCTCTGACAGCAGGTGGCACTTATGAAACAGCAGTAATACAACGTTTCCTTGGTTACCACTGAAAACAAAGCAGCGCTGCTCTTATGAATGCTAAACTTTAATAAAAACAGTCAGTTCCCCTCAGAGATACATTCATATAAACTCCCACCCCGAAATGTATCGCGCTTCGTTTAACATCTCAAACGATTTGAATCGTCACATATTTGTATTGATGTTCAACCAGTTCAGAGTGCATCATTACATCCCTGCTTGTGATGCAAAAAAAAGTGTTTTTTATAAACAAATCCAAAAAAAAAAAAACCGGTTCAGAAAAACGGGTCACAGGTTCTTTTACGCACTAGCGTAATGATGTCATTCGCAATGACGTATTTATGTCAAGTCTATCGTCCCGGGCCAGGATGAGAATACACAACACATTCAAATATATAAAGTCAGTAATCATAACTTCAGTCAGTTAAAACATCATCATCATGATCTGATACGTTTTACAGTTAATTTGTGCAAATAAAGCACCCAAATACAGGTACAGGCAGTGATGTGCAAACAAGGATGTTCTGTTCAGATGGTGCTGTGTCACAGTCAGTCATAGTAGGCAGTCATGTACTGTTCAGTAGACACACAAAGTCCTTTAAGACATACAGATACATTAATCTAAAAAAAAACACCCCAAGCAAACACACACTGATTCAAATTGTCTGCTTTAGTCATTAGTAGAGACTTTTAGACCTGAACTGAAGCATGCCAGAAAAGGTAAAGAGTTGTGAGAAAATACAATGCGCGTCAGATCCGCATCATGTTCAGCAGCGGCAGCTCTTAAAGCAGCCAAAATAACCTAATAACCCAGCTGCTGTGATGTCTGTTAATCAAAGAACAAAAGAAAAAAGAGGAAATCAATAACTTGTAGCTTTAAGGATTCATCTATTTAATTTCGAATTTAGTGTTTGATAACTTTAATTTCTGTATATTTCCTACTTGCTGAAGGGCACAGATAAATATGACATTTATTGTTGGGTTTATGTGAAGATTGTTTTAAGTTGACTTAAATGATAAGTTTTTATTTTTTAAAGTCTAATAAATGTTAAAATTGATAGCTCTCAATTATACTGTAATGTTGAATGGCTATAGTCAATGGTTAAATATTAGGTACAAAAAATCCTAGAGACATCAGTAGTGTTGGTATGAGTGATAATCACCTTCAGTCATAAAAAAAGATGTCATTAAACAAATATTAAACATTTACTGTCTTTAGGCCTATGAAGTGTCTACATTAATTTGAAAATTGAATGTGAGTTTTTTGCAATATAAAACTATAATTAAAAACTCAAATGTTAGATGGGATTCATCGCAATTAATTTCAGAAAAAATGTGCCATTAATTAGTTACTTTTTTAATCAATTGACAGTACTAAAAAAAAAAAAAACATAAAACATGTTTCTTTTGCTCCATCAGTTTCAAAAACTAATGCAGCCAAGCCAATACATCCTCATACAATGATAGGACCGTAATTAAGTCATATTTCCACATATTTCCTGTTTTAAATCTTCTTTTTTGGGTTAACTATTCCTTTAAAGTCAACATGAATTGCCATTCTCAACCCACTTTAGTAATATGACATATTTCTGAGCAAGACGGGACTTTAGTAGATTGTGAAAAGTGTGTTTTCCAAACCAGAATGAATAGCCTGCTGTTAACAAAGAAGGAAAGCTGTTTCAGAGTAAGAGAACATTATTGCATTTTGATTAATCATTATGACAGCAAACTTCTTTTTGGAAAAAGGTGCATTGATTAATAATTCACAGTAAGATCAGGGATGTGCGTTAACAAAGCAAATAGGGTCAATTTTGTTTTCATGTTAACTTTAAACTAGTTGATCTTTTCTAGTGCAACAGTGATGAAAATGTAATATCCCACTGCAGGCTTGTGAAAGTGACTTCATACTACATTCATTTACAAACTCTATAGAAAAAATATAGCCCCCGTAGGGCCAGTAAACAGCTCTGCCAGGATGCTAATACTTGGAAAACAGTTTCTAAAACATTGGGTATGCAAGCAATTAATAGACCAGTGCTGGAGCTTTTTGCTGTGTAGGTTGCTTACAAGATTCAGAACATTTTCTACATCCTATTCTGTCATATTTTATAATTTGTGTATTTATTTTGTATCGTAACCTTGGGAGCAACTCACAAAAATCCTTATAAGTGCATACTGTATGTACATGGTCGATAAACTCCATTATGATTAGACAGGGAGAGCTCTTGCCTAACAACCTTGCTAGCAGAAGTCTGTTGGAATTTCTGTTTATAGAGATTATTACAACTGGCCAAAGCTCTTACGTAACTGCTCTCCAACTGCTGAGCGAAATGTGGCCGAGCCGAGGGGAATGAGGATGCAGCCAGGTTTTGCTGGCGATAAAGGAGTGGAGTACATTTAAAGCCACTTGTTTGTTTGAACGATGAAAAGGGTGCATTGACTGTTGGTTTTAAAGGAACAGTGACAGTTGAAGCCTTGCAGCTGTTCTTCTCCAAGACAGAAATCAGTTCTGTGCCACTGAAACATTTATCCCACTGTCTTATAAATAACATACAGGCTGATGTGTTGCTCAATGTGTTTTAGGTTATGTAACGCCTGTGGAGATTAATCAGGGTAGATGGCATATTGAATTTTGCACAAATTAAAACAAGGCTGTGAATGGTAGAAGAACAGTCTGTTCTCTGTGTTGTATTGTCTTAGATCACATCTAATTGTATTGTCTTAGATCACATGTAAGACGATACAACACATCAAAAAAAGCAAATATTTACTGATTAGGGATGTACTATTTATCGGCACCATATTGGTCATTGGCCAGTATTAGAGTTTTTTGTAATTTGTTGGTATCAGTCAATATTGTGGTAATGAATGTTGTTGTTTTTTGCATGCTCATTTTCTGTATTCTTTTTTTTTTTTTCATTTAGATCATCTTTGCTATTATCTAACACACTCTTAAGTTAATATTTAAAAACACTAATTTTTAACACTATTAAATATAATCTTGAGAATCTAAAAGGAAATCTTACAAGGAATATTGATTTTTCATACTGTATATCATGCTGTTATGCCTAAATTCACCTATAGCATTTAAAGTGACTTGATTTTAGTTTAGTATTTTATTTTTAAAAGGATAGTCCACCCAAATAGTCCACCCAAGTTACTAAATGGTTTTGGTTCCCATTGACTTCCATTGTATGGACAAAAAATACAACGGAAGTCAATGGGAACCAAAAATGTATAGTTATCAACATTCTTCAAAATATCTATCTTGTGTTCAGAAGATGAAAGAACTGCATACAGTTTTGGAACAACATTAGGGTGAGTTAATGATGACAGAAATTTCATTTCTGGGAGGACTGTCCCTTTAATTTCTAAAAATTAATATAGAATTTCAGTATCAGCCAATTTTGGTACTGATACAACTCCAGTCTTTACTTCATGTGGGTCTACATTATTTAAAAAAATGTTTAAATGTACTTTTTATTTGCTTATTTTTATTTATTTTTTAATGAGGGAGAAATTACTTTAACTATGGTGTCTACCCTGGCTAAGGTCTATGTGAGTTTAATTATGCTGGTTTAAAATCCGGCTGATCTGTTTGATGTTTTTTGAGGTCAACCACAATGTCTCCACAGGCCACAAAGCAGCTTGCAGTATTTTTGGTTTGTGTATAACTTCGTGACTTGAAGTTGCATGGGGATGGATCAGTAAGTGTTAGCAACTGTTTCCTCCCTCAGCTCTAGATTTTGAACACCATTATCCACGGAGGCTTCATCCTCATCCACTTACTCCCGTTGATCCAGCGTATGTGTAATCCCGTCAGAAAAGGTCTATGGCTCTCTGTTGGTTGCTGTGAGGGAGGTGAGGAGAGGTGCAGAGCAGGGTAATTGTGCGGGGAGACAGAAAGAGTTAGTGTCAAAAAATCTGTCAGGATGAATCAGAGCTTGCCCACACAAACAGGAAGACTGCATCCTACAGGCAGACATTTTTATAAAGAAAAAAATACTAGAGAGCTGATTATATACAATATTTGTCTAAATGTGATGCTTCACATTGAATTAAATAATTCACAATAAGTCTTTTATCAAAAGCTTGATAAAATATTTATTTTGTGGTGGAAAATATGATGTAAGCGCTGGTCATGTTTATTTGATAAAATATATTTTTGTACTGAAGTAAGAGTCATCTAATTAACTTAAGTATTTATTGTTCAACCAAGCCATATTAAAGAAATTAATACTTTTATTCTGCAGTGACAAATTAATTTTATCAGAAGTGACAGTAAAGAATTTTGCATTGTTACAAAACAAATTTTATTTAAAATAAATGCTGTTCTTTTGAACTTTCTATTCATCAAAGAATTGTGGGGGGAAAAAAAGTATTATTGTATCCACAAAAATATTAACCAGCACAACTGTGGTGCAGCAAAACAATATTTATTATAATGATAATTGAATGTTTCGCATCCAAATCAACATAGAATAATTTCAGTACTGGAAATTCAGCTTTGCTGGAATAAATTCATTTTAAAATATATTAAAATAGAAAACGGTTATTTTAAATTGTAATAATATTTCACAATATTACTGTTTTTACTTTATATTTGCTCAAATAAATCCAACCTTGTTGAGTATAAAACATAAAAAAAAAATCTTACCGACCCCAAACATTTGAATTTCCTAATTAAAACCTATTTAACAGATATTATTTGAAGCACAATAATAGCCTGTTGCATCACACAAATATAGATTTTTTTGCATTTATCATGTTTTATAGATGTATTATCTGAGACCCAAACAGAACTAATGCATTATTTTTTCACTGAGGACTGGACTTAGTACCTGATACTTCATTTTTAATGTGCAGAACATGACGGTTAAACCTCACCATTAGCGCATACCTTTGGATATGCTGTAACTCTCTAAGTGACCTCACAGTTCACAGGGTGACTTGGGATTGTGATTGGTTCATTTGATTCCATTCTTTAGTGACATTGATGATGTTTTCAAATCCTCTTTCTGTGACTTTAATGGAATCTCCCAGTTGTTCCATGTATATTTCATTCTCATCGCAGTGGAATGTGTGATGGCTCTGAAATTCCCTAGGATAAAGAGCGTTCAGAATACCAGTGTGTATGTGTGTGGAACCTGGAACCCCCACGGAGGTGACACTAAAGCTTTCCAATCTCAGCCCAGGCATCCTCCTCGAGTGTCATGTTCATACCAGCAGACGTCACTTAATCGTAGTTGCTGTCACCCAAATGCATGATCAAAAGTGGGACATTGTAAATAAAATATTATTAAGAGTAAAAGAATGTAGTCTTTATTTGAACATCATATGCAGTACTTTCCCTGGAACATTTTTCAGGGGTTCAATGAACGAACTAAATTTTGCCCTTCAGACAATTAAAGGGTTAGTTCACCCAAAAATGAAAATTAGCCCATAAATTCATCATCCTAGGTGTATATGACTTTCTTTCAGACAAATCCAATCGGAGTTGTATTAAAAATTGTCTTTGATCTTTCAAGCTGTTTAATACCACTCAGCGGGTGTTGCATGCATCAGTCCAAAAGAAGTTAAATAAAAAGTGCCCATCCATAAAAAAAAGTGTCTCACACGGCTCCGGGGGGTGAACAAAGGCCTTCTGTAGCGAATCGATGCGTTTTTGTAAGAAAAATGTCCATATTCAAAACGTAATAATCACTTTAATGTAGCTTGCGCTCACTGTTGTACACGGAAGCAGTTTCAGGCAGATGACGTATGGAGGTCGGCTTTGCGCATGCGCCACTCAAGATCAAAGACAATTTTTTATATAACTCCCGACTGGATTCGTCTGAAAGAAGAAAATCATATACACCTAGGATGACTTGAGGGTGAGTAATTTATTGGCTAATTTTCATTTTTGGGTGAACTAACCCTTTAAATAGCCATATGTAGGGACCAGAATATCATTTAGACTTGGAAGTGGAATCTTTTGATTCAGACTACTAACCAACTGCCTAGAACCCCCTACCACATAATAATAACATGCTAAAAACCAACCAGAAGATATTAGTAATTGCATAGTAACACCCTGGCAACCAGTCACATAGTACAATTTTTAAATGTGTTTGGAAAAAATCTCTTATGCTGACCAAGGCGGTATTTATTTAATCATAAAAACAGTAATAATGTGAAATACTATTGCAGTTTAAAATACCTTTTTTTCTATTGTAATATATTTTAAAATCAAATTTATTCTTGTGGTAGCAAAGCTGAATTTTCATTAGCCATAACTGCAGACTTCAGTGTCACATAATCTTTCAGAAACCATTCTAATTTGCTAATTTTGTGCTCAAGTAACATTTCTGAGTATAATCAATATTGAAAACAGTTGTGCTGTTTAATGTTTTTGTGGAAACCTTGATAAATATTATCATCAAGATTATTTGAGGAAAATTAACATCAAAAGAGCAGTATTTATTTGAAATATAAATCAATGTAACATTATAAATGACTTTACTGTTACACGTAAAGACATTGTTGATCAATTGAATGCATACTTGCTCATTAAATTTCTTACTAAAGCAAAAATCTTACTGACCCCAAACATTTGACTGTTTAAGGTGAAATGTGTATTTATTTATTTTTTAGCTTATAGTATAGTTTAATGTACATATAGTTTAATGTTTGCTGTGTTATGTGAACATTCTAACCTGCCTTATTGGCTCAACCAATAGTGTGAATTTGGAGAGGTACTGTCTATTTTTTTTTAACAAATGGCAGACAGGAATCCCGTTTGAAAACAGTCATTACTTTTGCAGTTGCACTTGGTGATGCTAGTACTGCAGAAATTAGACACTTCACCTTTAATAATTTTGCTATTCTTCTTCACTTGTAGGAATTGACTACAAGACAACTACCATACTGCTCGATGGACGCAGAGTCAAGCTCCAGCTTTGGTGAGTAGCTTTACATCACAGTTACTTTTCCTTTTGAACTGGAAACCCATGACTGCAGCACCTGACAGAACCTAGAAATACATGTTGAACTTTAAAGTTTCAACTTGATTTCCTCCTATTATCTTCTTGAACTCAAACCGAGCATGAAGAGAGATTAAAGATCACCCCCTCCATTCCATCATGCCTGTGTACACTCAATAAGATCCCGTTGGTTTCCAAAATATGAAGTGAACATGCCAAACATCTGGCTATGTTAATTACAGTGCTCCTCAACAAACTCTTCCGATGAAAAATTCAGCCAGGTCAATCCCACTAGCCATGCCTAGAACTTGTTTATAAATTCTGCTGCATTTTAAGAGAACTGAGCTTGTTGTAAGAATCTGGAATCAATTATTGATAATCTGGCCTTGACAGATGAAGCATTTTAGAGCAGAGTGTTTGTGATACTCCAGCCCTTCCCGCTGCAACATGACTGGCACATCTTGGTGCTGCGCTCAGCTCTGGATGGTGAATGATTCATTTCACTGCTCCTACTCAAAGTCTGCTGCCCTGGCACCAACCACAGAGAGCTCCACATGCCACCAGGCAGAGGCAAAGACAATAGCTACAGATGTATTGAAGAACAGAAGTAAGATGAATGTGTTCTTTGTCATGCGGGCCCTCTGTGTTGTGTTGTTTTTTGCAGGGACACCTCAGGACAAGGCAGATTCTGCACCATATTCCGCTCATATTCCAGAGGAGCACAGGTATAACGGCAATTAATTATAAAAACACTTTGGGAAAATACAATGAGTAGCTATTTATAATAAAAGCTATTATAATTATAATTAATATATTCATATAAGAATATTTACAATTATTTATTTGAATTCATTTAAATAAGTTTAAAGTTATTTGTAATTATTTTATTCATGAATGTAAATATAATAAATGTAAAATATTTTTACATGATTTATCAGTCACCATTTGTGAGTTTGTGAATAGCTGTCTTAGATGTAGATAATTTAAGTTATATGTAAAAATATTGTTCATTATTTTATTTATAATTATAGTTATTCATTTAAAAATAATTAATTTAAATTATATTTAAAAATATTTATTTTTCATTATTTTCTTTATAATTGCTATTATATTTTGTTATGATTTTCATCAGACATCATTTGTGTGGTTGTGTGTAAGCCCATTGTATATCATATGCAAAGAGACTTTAGGAAATGGCTTTTAAATATCTCTGAAATCCCGGTGTTCCTAGACAGTTGTTAACACTCCACCCAATGACCAGCAGTTCCTGTTGAAAGTGTGGTATGCTATAAATCGGAGTGGACTGGTATTGTTGACATGACATTTCCTGGCTCTGGCAAACACAGATATCCTAATAACAGAAACTCTTGGAGCAAAGACACAGTCTTTATTGACATTACATCGTAAACGTCTCTGCCAACAATTTTAGTCACATACTGCATGAGATGTTAAATAACACCACGTCCAGTACCACCCTGACTTTGAAAAACGTTGATCATCTAATTCGATCTCAAAAGCTTATGGTCTCATTTTTTTTCTTTCATTTTGAATTGAAAGTGCATTTAAGTTTAATTTAAGTTTTAATTTTGTTTCTCAGGGTGTTATCCTTGTATATGACATCACAAACCGGTGGTCTTTTGATGGCATCGACAGATGGATTAAAGAGATTGATGAGGTAAAATCAGCTCAAAACTACTGTAGTTACAGTATTCGGCATGTTAAATATGCAGTGCATTATGATTAAGGGTATAAAAAGACATGAGGTCATACTAGTGGCTTTTAAATTACATTGAATAAAACATAAGCTAGTCGTCTTGAGAAAGTGCTAAAATAGATGTGCATCTCTGTATTTTAGGAAATGTGCATGTTATGCAACTCAGTAACAACAATTATGTTTATAATCATTGCAATCATACATGATAGTGACAGAGGCTCTGTAACTAATCTGTGTAGCTTGCAGGGGGCTGATGATGCGCACAGCATTTTCTTTCAAAATTGCTTTA